CCTCCCAAAGTGATGGGATTACAGGCCTGAGTCACTGCGTCCAGCCGATAACATTTCTTACAGCTGCATGGGTGGCAAAGCCCATTTAGTCCAGGATCTCATTTGTTTCTCACAGCAACTATGGGAGGTAGCTGCCACTCTTATCTTACGGATGAGGAAGCTGGGGCTCGGTGAGCCTGTGATGCTGAGACTTGCTCAAGTGTACCTAGCATGTATGTGGCAGAGCCACGAGTGAAACCCAGGCCTCCCATTTGCAGCAATGCACCCCTGCCCATGGAAGTAGAGGGGGGCAGGCTCTGAGTCCTGAACTTCAAGGTGGGAGGACCCCAGCTTTCCCCTCGTGCTGTGTGATCTTGGGAAGGTCCCTGGCCTTTTCTGGGGCTCAGGCTCCCTGCTGGAGAATCAGAATCCACCAGCCCAGTGAGCGTGCATCCTGGGTGGCAATGGAGTGGGCACCTAGCGCCCCTTCTTGGGGGCTGAGCTGTTTGCTTGCTTTACAGGATGGTTCCTTCTCCTTGGCACGCATACTGAGTGGGCACCCCGGGTTCGCCAGTGCCCGCTTTGGCTTTGCCATGGCGGCTGTGGGGGATATCAGTCAGGATAAGCTCACAGATGTGGCCATCGGGGCCCCCCTGGAAGGTTTCGAGGCAGGTGATGGTGCCAGCTTCGGCAGTGTGTATATCTACAATGGACACTGGGACGGCCTCTCCGCCAGCCCCTCGCAGGTGACCCATGGGGCCCTCTCCTTCCTCTCCTCTGGGGCTCTGACCTCTCCCAGATATGATGACCAAGCCCCAAGTCGACTTCAGTCCTAAGTGCTGGGCAGGTCTCAGGGGGCTGGGAGTGCCCAGGGAAAGAAAGAAGTCCCTCAGGCTGGTGGGAGGTTCCAGACCAGGGCCTCAGCTCAGCACCTTCAGGTTGAGGGGAGGTTGTGGCAGTACCTGTCTCCTTCCCTGGCCTATACCCTCTCCTTCCACCCAGCTGCTTCGGGTCCCTGCTTCCTCTCTTTCTGTCCCTCGCTCCTGTCTCCCACCCAGCCACCTCTCTGCCTTATCTCTCATTCCCCAGGGCTCCCTCGCCAGCCTCTCACACTGCATGTGTTACGGGCACTTTCACCCACCTGCAGCTCCTCCTGAGAACCTCCACCTGGATGGCCCCAGGCATCTCACTCCTGCCCGTGTGGCCCATCTGAGAGCCTGCTCCCCCAGACCTGATGCTCCTCTGAGTCCTCATCCTCCTCCACCCCCAACACCAGAAACCTCAGAGGGTCCCCAGCGTGCTCACACCCTGCACAGCCCGTCAGTCCCCACGTCCTCATGATTCTAGCTGTCTCCCAAGTCCAGCCCCTTCTCTCCATCCCCACCGCTGCAGTCCCAGTTCAGGCCTTGCCATCCCTCTCCCAGCCCACCCAGCTTCCTCCTCCCCTCCTTCTTCCACCCCGTATCTTCAGTGCCATTTCTAAAGTATTATCCTGATTATGTCGCTTCAAAAAAACAGAACCTTTGTTGACACCCCCAAGCCCCACATCAAGCCTCCTTGTACCCCAATCCCCTGCGGTCCACCCCGTCTGTGGCCCTGGCTGCTTCTCAGAGGGTCCTGCTCTTTCCCCATGCCTCACTCCCTTACTCTCCCCTGTCAAGTCCCACCTGCTCTTTGAGGCTCCACCCAAATGCCACTTCCTCTGGGAAAGCTTGCCCCCTCTTTCCTGGCTCTAGACTGGGGGCTCCCTGGGGCTGGATGGGGCCTGCAATGCTGATGGGTATAGACTATGAAAGAACTTCCTGCTCCATTTCCCTCCCTTCCCTCACACCACGCCTTGTGTTTCTGCCTCCACAGCGGATCATAGCCTCCGCGGTAGCCCCGGGACTCCAGTACTTTGGCATGTCCGTGGCTGGTGGGTTTGATATCAGTGGCGACGGCCTTGCTGACATCACCGTGGGCACTCTGGGCCGGGCAGTTGTGTTCCGGTAGGGCTCTGTCCTGCTTTCTGGGGTCCCAGGCCCAGCCTCACCCATTTGTCCTGTTTTAAATAGCTCGATGCAGACATTAGGCACTGAGGGAAGGAGCCAGCACTGTGGTTGCAGGCACAGGCTCTGGAGTCTGCCCGTCTGGGTTTGAACCTCAGCTCTCAGCCCTCTCAGGGTGCCCTTGGGCAGGTTATTTAATTCTAAGACCTTACATAGGAGTTATAAGAGCATTGCGTCCCAGAGCTAAGAGGATCATGCAAGTGAATATATGCAAAGTCTTTAGCACAATGCTCAGCGATGGCTATGATTATTCGGAATTGTGGAGTTTTTTTTGTTTGTTTTGTTTTGGTTTTCTTGAGACGGAGTCTTGCTCTGTTGCCCAGGCTGAAGTGCAGTGGTACAATCTCGGCTTGCTGCAACCTTTGCCTCCCGGGTTCAAGCAATTCTCTGCCTCAGCCTCCTGAGTAGCTGGGATTACAGGCATCTGCCACCACGCCTGGCTAATTTTTGTATTTTTAGTAGAGACAGGGTTTCACCATGTTGGCCAGGATGGTCTTGAACTCCTGACTTCATGATCCACCCACCTCTGCCTCCCAAAGTTACAGGCATGAGCCACTGCACCTGGCCAAGAATTGCAGAGTTTTTGTGCCCCATCCCTCAGTAAATGATCAAGTCCTGTGGCTGTAAATGAGCTCATGGAGCGCCCGTCTGTCCCATCCTCTCCACCAAGCCGCAGACTTGCTCTCTACCCAGCACCTCTCTGGGCTGCCGCTCATGGTCATCCCGAAGTGAACACATCTAAAAACAAAGCTCTTGTTTCCCCCCACCCTTCGTTCCCCCAAATCTGTCCTGCCCTCAGGCTTTCTGTCTCAGCAAATGGCACCATCATCCACCCAGAAATTCAGGATGAAAAGCTAGGCGTCATCCTTGGTGCCCCTTTTTCCTTCCTCTCCATCATATCAACGTGTCTTAGTTGGCTCTGCCTCCAAACCGCCTCCCAGCACAGGCACTGTCTTCCCTTCCTGGACACTGCTGCGGCAGCCTTCCCTGCTTCCAGCCCCTGCACTCCATTCTCCACGCAGCGGGAGCCCGATCCCTTCACTCTGATGCCTGAAACCCCTCCACGGCTCCTATTTAGAGAAAAATCCCAATTCCTTACCATGGCTTTACACGGCTCTTTGTGGCCTGGCC